GTTTAGGGGATTAAGGTCTTTTTGTCGGAGCTTTCTCCAAGGGGATTAAGGTTTTGGGATTAGGGCTTGAAAGCTGGGGTTTGGGGGTGTGGCTTCAGGGGCTTACTCGTTGCAGTGGCATACCTCAGAGTGCTCCTTGAAATATTCCAAATAGGTGTAGACTAGAAAGAATCCCCTTGTGAGGTCACTTGCAATGGTTGAGGTGGTGGGTTGGGAAACCCCATTTGGGCTCGACTGTGGCACGACTTTGGGCTTGCTCCAACAAACATGGGTTTGTGGCATTTGAGCCGGAGTAAGAGTCAGGCGCCGAATCATCCAAAGCGGGTCAAGCTTTTGCGATCATCAACATCCATTCCCGACGTGTTGAACCACTTTAATTTCTCATTTGGAGCCATGAAGATCGTCCCTGAGATTCCAGCCCACGCACTTCTACAAGCGATATCCCAAACCCAAACTTGATGCCCCAGAGCATACACCCCAGATCCTTTTAGCCTTCCGCCTCAAGTCCCTAATCACCAAATCCAGAAACATCCTTCTTCGATGCTAGACCGGAAACCTTCGCACGCATCACTTCAACCCCAACTCAACGCAACATCTACAATGCATGAACACTATGGACTTTAAGGAACCCGCGCCTGGAATGTACTGATTGGAAATCAATGACTAACGGGGTTGAGTATCATACGTACTACATACATGGTATCTGCCTCTATGATATACGTACATTCGATTTCCATTCCCCTTATGCACAAGTACGTCTACGCCCCGTTGCCCCGGTTCAAAATGTGTTAGGGACCGGCAACTTGGGTATCGCTGATACCCTATACATCCCCGTGCCCTGCTGCCATCCTTTCAAGCACTAGGGACCTAGAGCATGAACCCGAAGCCCTACCGTCCTCTCCTCGAAAGCCTTACTCAAACAGATCAGGCGTGCTGAGCCACGACGTGCCAACTTGGCAGCAGTCCGCACAGAACGAAGCATTCTTTCCCACAGGCAGAGGTGCCAAAATACTAAGTTCTTAGATCCTGAGCTGTGAAACCCAAAGCCCAAAACCCTAAATTCTTGCTCCTGAGGTTTGGCCTTCATGCTATCACTGAGGCAGGAGTTACCAAGCTAGCTTAAACATGGATAGAGAACACTTTGCTGGGTTTTAGGAAGGTTCTGTGCATGTTGGATAATGTGAACTTGTTCAACAGATGGCCACAGCAACCTTGACCCAGTCGTTGCCAGAATGAATAACAAGGAGCAGCAAACAGCTTTAACGGCACACCACATCACCACTACAACCATGACTTTGATAATTGTTCCTATTCGCGTAGTGGTACGTAGCGGCAGCAGCAACAGAAAACATAGCCACGGTCACGATGGGAATCAAATCAGGGGCTGTAGACAGTGTGTCACTCTTGTGGCGCTTTATCTGAAAAGGAATTTCCATGTGGGCTTGCAGCTAGAGGGATCTTTGAACAATACCTAACCTTTGACCTTCAATTCGAAGCCGCCGCGTGTTGCGCACCGCGTTGTAGCTGCCACTGGAAAAGCTGAGTCACCCCCCCGCCGGCCCGCAAGCACTCTTACCTACGTCCTACGTTCCCAGAGGAAAACTTAGCTTGCATCACCCTTCATCAGCACAATCATTAAGCACCTACTCTTCGTGCCCACAAAAAATGCCAACATGTGCAAGCCGTATGTTTCAGAACTTGGGATGTGCCAAGCTGCCAGCTTGATACTATGAGGAAATAAGGGGTCTATCATCCGCAAGAAATATCTAAAGAGGGCCCCTGCCAGTCACCTATGATGCCTAGAGATCCTGCCCTAAGCTCTCAACCCAAGCGCAGCTTGGGAGGAAGCCGCAACGAGGTATAGATCAGATTATTTTCTGCTGTGTATCGAGAAGGGATTCCGTTGAGGCGAATGCATAAGATGGGGCAATTCGGGGTTTTCAGGCTGTTGGCTTTTGGGGGAGGAGGGATTTGGTGCTTCACAGGCGTACGTATGAAAGTTCATTCAGAAAGTTCAGATACATCAACATTCTACCCTCATGGGTTGGTAGCCGCTCTTCCCCTCGTGATACGCCTTTCAAGGTCAACGTTTATGTTTGTGCTACATCTTGACTCTCTTAGGCACAGTTTCTTTGCAGGTGTCGTGTTTGTTTCCACCTGAAGACGTCCACAAAATGTTCCCCTCCACCCAACTCCCTTTCAGAAAGCCTTCCTTGCGGCCTGAAACCATGGACTTGCCTCTGAACAGTAGGGAATACTTAGGACTGCGGGTTGGGGTCATGGCATTCATTTGTTTTCTACTCATAAGAGGTACGAAGCACCGGACGCGACCGCTTCCTGTTTTCCGATGAGCTGTGTGATCGGATGTGTCTGAGACGAACCTACCCGGAGTGCCAGGACTTTCTGCTTGAAACTCCGCACTGAAGGAAAGAACATCCCAAAGGGGTTTCAGGTTTAGTTCAGGGTGAGGGCATACTTACGCCCTTTGATCCTTGCACTGAGGGCTTACGGCTTGGAGACGCCATTCATGAATCACCAAAACCCATATCATAAATCGGATCCCTCCCCTTGAACCCTCACCCCAAATCCCATTCAAGGCCCCACACCCAAATCTCAAAACCCTAATCTGCAATCCCATCCCCTACGGAGTGTCAAGTCTTTGGTGGAGCCGGCCGCACAGGCAGCGCAAATGATCCCCTTTACCTGGCCTTACCACATCATAGTATGCAGGTTTCCGACCACTTGGCCGCCCCATTTAGTGATTCTGCAGGAATGTCGCATTTTAGAATATTTAGGATTTAGGGTTCATGGTTGTGGGGTTGGCTAGACTCATGTGGGGGCCTCGGTTGCTGGTCTCCAAGGAATAGGAACCCACATCGAGGGACCCGTACTATGCCAGCATAAAGAAAGCTTCACAAGACCTAAGCTTGCGTGCACCCTCTGGCACGGCCCAGGGTCGCACAGGCATTCAAACCATCAGGATCGCAAAGGGACTTTCAGCTTTGTGGTATCGCAGTCAGTCAGGGTCTGATTGTCAGGTTCGGCACTGCGATGTGCATGAGGCCATGTCGGGAAGGATCACCCCCAACAACTAGGGACAGACACCTGCTGCACTACCTTCTTGGGAGGCTTAACGGGCGGTGTAGAAGCATGTACATTACCTTAGTTGTGGGCCATTCAGCCCTGAGGAGTGTAACTTTGTCAAGGGAATCACTCCGGAAAAGAGGGCGCTCCCCGGGCAATCAGTCTCGTTGCAAGTCTGGCGGATTGGAGATTTTTCCGATCAAAAACCTGGGCATGGCTTATAACGATACCTTCAAATCGAGGTGTGCATTTGAAGCTGAATCTTGGGTTAGAAGTAGGCACATGCACTGAAAAGCCTCCAGCCCAACAGTGAAATTCCCACCTGCCTATAGCTCATAACAGTAAAGCTGCTATGAAGCAAACAGGAAGCCTTAATGGTCTGCGTTTACGGGACTACCGAATCCTCCCTCGAAATTCAAAAGAAGTACAGTAGGTAGCATCTTCTCCATCTCCCCCAGAGCTACTCTGTGCAAAGCGCGGATGTGACAGCTGCCCACTCGCAAATACTGCTGACTAGACCAAGGCCTTGGAGTCTTTGGAATTTCTTTGTGCAAGAGGACCAAAACCCAAAATGCGTGGACCCCTAATCGCTCAAGCTGAGCACTCACTTTTTGTCTGGCTGCTACTTTCGTTGGTTTGAAAGTGAACTCTTGGGCGTCACTCCGGAGCTTCAATCAGGACCTGTAGTGAGCAGCAGCATTTGGGGGCCCAGAGATTAAGTAGGGTTTCAGGTGAATGGTTCAGGGTGCGGGCTTGAGGTTTGGGGCATGGGGCTCAGCGGTTGGCAGCCAAATGCTTACTGGTTGTGGAGTTTTGGTTTCCAAGATAGTGAGCGTTTTTCTTAAACCGTCAGCCCTAAATCCGAAACTCTAAACCCTGGACGCACCTCCAGACTAGAGTACTCTGAGCCCTGAATATGCAACACTCCTCACTGCGGTGGATGCATGACATCCTTCACCAGGCATAGGCCCCTAATTACATCAACAACAGCTGCAGTAATTGATAGTCTGATAAGTCCCTGGAGTCGTGCAAGACTCCCTCTGTCAACAATGCAAAGCTGCCCCGAAAAAATCCTGAGGAATATGGACTGATGAGGAGATTTTGCCGGATCACTCCTAGGCATTTTGAAAAGGGATTGCTTTGAGCAGTTTCTACATCAGCATTTCTGACCGGACAAGTAGTCCTGGCAACGCGCACATGAGTTTCACAATTACATTTCCTTGTCAGCGAACGATCTTCCATCAAGAGGTCTTGCTGGTAGCCTGCCTCGTAGCAAGGAAGCTTCGCGAGCAAGTGCATTCGCTTCTGCTTTTGTTGCCCAAACAAGCAAGCAAGCTCTCGTGCTCAGCCCACCATTCTGCTGCAACGTTTTTTCCAGCTGTGCGAATGTATCTTCTCGGAACTCCCCCAAACTAAGCCCTGCAAGGTCAGAGTTCATGTCCTGTCCTCTCCAAACCCCGAACCTAGAGGCCGCGGAATTGTGAACGCATGGAATCACTGAACAGGAGATGGGGCTAGGGTTTCACTGGGGGGGGAACTATAAGTCCAGTCTAGTGCATTTGTTAGTTGCTGAGAAGCACAACAGTCGCTACAGTACCTGGAGGGTCCGAGGCTGAACTTAGGAATAGATAGATGTGTGGGATCACGGCAAGGATTCCGAGGACTGTGTGCGCTGAATAACTTAATGAATGATCTGACCCTCCAAAATTGAGGTCCTTCACTCATCAGGATCCAAGGCCTTACAGTACTTGGAACACTTCCTGGGGCTGCTGAACTGGCCAAATTTATGCGAAAGCCACTGTCTGTCTCCTATACGGACTGCCAAAGGGGCAAGGTTGTTGCATGTCAACCCAACTGTACGGACGATCTACTCTAGACTTTTGGACTTCAGCATGAGCAATTGCTCGGGCTCGGGCCAAGTAACAGCTTGCTTCTGCCCACCTGTCTTCAGAGCCTTTCAGCGAAGTTCAACAGTTCAGACTTTGGATTTAGGTGGGTGTCGGAGTTATAGCTCTTAGCTTGGGGTTTAGGTTTCGGGGTTCTGGCTGTAGTATTTCAGGAATTCGGGTTGGTTCTGTTGGCGTCGATGGTTTAAGATTTAGTTTAGGACAGTTCTTAACACGCACGATTTTCGGGGCGCTATATGTAAGCAATATACAAAGGCTCCAGCTGTTACTAAGCGGGGCAGTACCCAGGACACAAGACAGCACGAATGTATCGCAAGCCCACATGCGGAAACCTGCATATCCTACACCCCAAAACCTGAACTTTAGCCCAGTCGTGAAACCTAGACCCGAAAACACTAAAACCCTCAAACACCCGACCCAACTACCTGAATCTCCGCTAGATATCTCACATCCTCCAGTACCTGCAAGAAACCCGCGACACCGCCAAACCATCTATCTAAGATCAAGGAAAACTAATGCAGGGCAGTTTCCATTTCATTTTCCATTATTCCCTATATAACCCGTCTATAATCCCTATGTAACCCATGTATAACTCCCAAATAACCCCTACACTAGTCCCCTATATACCCATATATAAATCTTTTCCATCTTTGTTTCCAAGAACCCTTGGCACCTCAAGCTCGAGCTCCCACAAGGGGCTCATCTCACGCAAGCGACGGACCTGTCGCTCTGCAGGTTCAACCAGAGATAGCGGCTTATTGCTTAGGGGATTTGGGGAGGAGACTTAGGGTGTAATCTTCTTCCATTGTGGTATGTTGTATTATATTGGGGGGGTAAATGGTTGCTAATATTAGGAGACGGGATCCTGAGATGTCAGAAGATTTTCAAGGTTTGATTCTGTAGAGCTGATTTAGGATCTAGAAGATGCGGGGCTGATGGCGTAGGAGGCTTATTTGCGATTTAGTTGATCCAGGCTTCCTGCTTGAAGCTTGATAACGTAAGCGGGACTGAAAGCTGAGGGATTCGAGTTTAGGGTTCACGGTTCAGGGCTTCGGGTTCAGAATTCAAGGTGTAGGGATGAAAGCTGTACGACTTTGGAACTACAGGCTTGCAGCTGCAAATCTCTCACCAGCTGGAGGGAAAATTTTGCAAGCGGCCTGCATGTTTCGAACCCTCAAATATGCAGCTACGGAGGGTAGCCGACTTACGCTAAACCTGAAACCCGCAAGCCCCGACCCCACTGCACAAAAGCATATTAAAAAAAACATAGTCCTGAGGATTCCCGTTCTAAACACCCACGCCTTAGCTTTTCCTGCAACCCGCCCAAGCACCGAGCCCCCTTTTGGCAGTAGAGAAATACCTCAAAATCAGCAGGTTGGCCTTGCTTGGTTGGGATGAAGGCCTAGGAGCATGCCAAAACCCACTGATGATCCAAACGTTCGGCAACTTGCGCTGCATTTTGCTCCCAAAAACTTCCTCGAGCTGGCTCTTGTTGATGTCGGTTGGATCGCCCGCCACCTGTTGGAACATGGACACCAGTATCTGGGCATCGCGCTTGTACGGGAGGTCAAGCGATGCCTCTGCTGGCACGTCTGGTGCATCATGTGCCTGAACTGCTGGCTTGCTTTGATCCTGTGGTCAGGAGAGGCCGATCTGTCGGGTGGCGAGCCATCGCCTATGAAAGCGCCTAAGTCAGAGATCACGGGCGCGTGGGCATGAGGCTAGGTACGTGCTACATCGGGAATGCTAAGCTCTAATATGTTAAGCTCACGCAGGATTTTCGCATCAAGCGTATTGGCCTTAGACCTTCAACCCTGGCCCCAGCCCCCAGGCTCCGGAGCCTAAAATCGCAACTCTGAAGCTGATCCCCGAAAGTTGGTCGAGCCTCCCTCACCACATCTTTGACCGTGCCGTCCTCGGAGGTTTTCTTGAGGGCTCAGGGATTGGTGTTTCGTGGCAGGAGTATTCTTACCAGCACAGTTGCCACTACTTCTCCGATTGATACTTCTGCTGTGTTGGGATCAGTTTCTGGGTATAAGGTCTAGCGTTCTCGGGAACCCGAAAGTATCAGGGGGCGGCTAAGACCGAATAAGTAGGCATATTGTCATATGGTTTTGTAACAAAACTACTTACAACTTACAGCTGTCAACCCTGAGGTCAACTTACTCGCCATCGCCATGCTTTTTGATGAGGGAAACCTGGACCTACCACAGCTTGGTAAACTAAAGGCTCAACAGAATTAAGGTTCATGGTCTCCCATTGCCATCTTACACTAAACCTACAACATAGAAATTTCACCTTTCAATGGCGTGATCTAAACGTCTAGTGAAACCTTGGAAGGGCACCCAAACAACCAATCATCACAGGGGACTTTGGGTCGCACTTCAACCTGAAGCACAAGCTGATGCACCCTTGATGGTCAGGATCCCTCGACCCTTTGTTCCGAAACACTGGAAATTCAGTCAATAAAGTTTGAGGCTCATCCAAGTCTTGTGATTTCCGTTTGAGGGACAACTTCTGCACCAGTACTTGAGATCTTAGCACTGCAGTAAACTTATGATATGCGAGTAAGGCATGCAGGACGTGGCATCAACAATATCTGGACGCCAACCCTGTAACTCCCAAACCCTAGACCTCAAGGCCAGAGCACTCTTTAACATGCAATCCGTATGAACCTAATGCACCCAAACCACCTAAGCCAAATTGGTGAAGGTCAAGACTAAGCCTCCGACAACCTCGGCCTCAGTGGTAAAGCGGCCGATGCCGAATCGCAAGGACCTGGGACGAATTTTTGAGGTTTAAGGGGTCTGGGTTGTACCGGGCTTATAGGTCTTTAATGAAGGTCTATTTCTGGCGTTTAAGGGCTTAAGGGGCTTGTGGTCTACCGGCGGGCTTACAGGGTTTAAATCAAAGAGATTTCTAGGATTTCTACGCAGGGTGAGGGGTTCAGTTGTGTAGAGAATGGGGACGGGACGCGGCAGAATTGAGGTTTTGGGAGCGTTGTGCTCATTACTACAAGTCCCCCAAATCCAGTTAATCCCCTCCCCATAATATTAAACCCCGACCTCCCTAATGTGAAATGTTCCCATTATGGTATCTCATATTATATATATACATATATACACATTTATATTTGGCTGAATATTGAGAATTTAGGGGGGTGGAGGGGTTTCATATTAGGGGGAGGGGATTCGCCGGACTAGGACTCCGGCTGCGCAGGCCAAAACGGTTGTGATTCCCCCCGCCGCAAAATGGGTCTCTCATGTTCAAAATACCAAAGAAAAGTAGCAGCATATCGGGAGGTGGAACAGAGAACAAAGAGACGTGAAGCTGTCTCAACCTAAACCCTGATCTACGCGGCTTGCACGCTAGATCTTCACCTGGACCCTGAACCTGAGACCTCTTCGAAACTGCAGCATGAAGCCTAAGTGCTTGACTGTAATACCCCAGGCAAGATAAATAGATAAACACAGAGCGAGCAGTTCTATAGTGCTGCATACAAAGACCTTGCAACTCAAACACGCAGCCCCTGGGCCAAGGGCTCATGTTTAGTTCCCTTTCGGATTTTATATGTTCGCTTACAAAAACATAGCCTGCCCAAGAGGAACTACGTAGGAGCCTCCTGGTAAGGTTTGGGAGGATTCCAGAATTCTTCGCGCTGAGGTACTGCAACACCTCAGAGTTCCAAGCACCTATTTGGTCCATGATGCGTGGGGCAGCGGAGGGCAAGTATTCCGCTTGAGACCTAGGCGCACATCATACCCGGAAGGTTGTGGAAATCAAGAATGGCAGCTTGCTATCATGTTCGCGTTTTTTGCGGGATCGCTTCCACAAGGCGAGGTCGTAAACCCGAAGGCCTACCTGAAGCTTGAGACCCCTAAAGTCAATCCCTACACTCAGAACTCTGAACCTTAAAGCCCTCAACCCCTGGGCTTAAACTGTGACTCCTGCACTTTAAGCCGCAAACCCCCTAATTAATCTTGGACCCCAAACCCGGCAGTCTAAAACCTGGAAAGCCTACAGCCCCAATAATTTAGCTGCAAAAGAACGAGCCCTCTGAGCCCTCGCGCGTGTGCGCCAAGTCCTCCGACACTCCAATGGCACGTAGGACGTAGGACCTTCGCTTGGCCGATTTTTTCGGGCTCATTGAGGACTTTGGGTTTGGGGCTTGCAACTCTTGGATTCGTAGAGTTTACGGTTCAGGCATGTATGTATGTGATTGGTGTTTAGGCTTCGGATGTGGCAGGCCAGTCCCTGAAGCATAGCATTTGGAAGTTTGCCCTCCAAAGCGCAGGGATATCCTCTTGTACATAAGAGTGAGCGGATACTTCTTGGATCTACAAGAAGAACAGGGAAGCTAAAAAAACAACAGTAATCCAAATGGACAGCACCTAATGCCCCGTAGACCCCTAGGCCTTGCAGCGAACCCTACAATCCCGAAACCCCAAACGCCAAAGCCCTAAACTCTAAACCCCAATACATCACTGTATAGCCTCAAACCTTGAACCCTCAATCCCACTCCTGCAACCCTCTGGGTCCCCCTGGCGGCTCGAGGGAGGCGCTGGTACAGGCGGATCCGCTGGACACGGCCGTGGTCTTCGCCAAAGACCTGGCATGTAGGACTTCAAGGCTTCGAGATGCAGGGATTAGGTGTCTTGCGATGTAGGGACTACAGGTTTTGATGGATTCGGCTTTAAGGGATTGACGTTATGGGATTTCGCAGTGAGGACAAGAAGGCAGAGGGGTTGGGGGACCGGATAGGACGACGTGGATGTATGAGCTTAGAGTTTAGAGCTCAATGCGCGGAGCTTGGAAAGTAGCGTGTTGATATACGTGAGTCCAAAGGCCACGTGCTTAGTCAAGAACATCTTAGGAGAGGAGGAGGTATGGCTTCAGGATTTCCAAGGGGTCTTATGTTGGTTTAGAGTTTAGGCGCTTGTGGCTTGAGGTGCGGTGCTTCAGGCTTCAGTAACAGAATGGAGGTTCAAGGCCCGAGGTTTATGAGTTTAAAAAGCGACGGCCTCTGCGCTGCGAAGCGATGTTGCAGCGAAATGAACAGCAAAATCTAAATCCGGTCCCAAAATCTGGCGAAAAGTCATGCAAGCGCCATCTAACAGCGGAAAAGTCCAGCGGACGTCAGCTGGAGTGACGGAAAAGACTATACTTTAGCATAATACATCATATTGTATTTTACTAATATATTATTTCTACTAATATATCATACTATATTCTGGTCTGGAAGATTGCTGGCATCCTGGCCAACTGGTGACGCATTTCAATGCAGGCAGCGTCTGCGGTGGATACCGCACGGTCCACGTGACTCTCAATGAATGCCATAAGCCCGCAACCCTGGGAAACCAAGCCCCAGCCAAATTCCTAAATCGCAAGCTGAGAATCCGGGCCCCGAGGCCGAAGCCTGAACCCTGCGCCCTGAGCTACAAAGCATGATAGAATCCCAAACCCTTGGCGTTTCAACGTTTTTTCTTGAATATCTTATTCTCCGCTATTCTTATGTCCGCCTGCCCTTGGTGGCTGTTAGTAATGTAAAAGACTGAAAGCAGAATAAAATGGAACCTACTGCAAGACATTAATGGGGGCTTACACATAGGGGCTACGGTGAGGATGAATTCCTCCATTCCTACTAGCCACCCTAAACCCCGTAGTGGCTTCGGTTTTCTTCTACATTCCTCCCACCCCTCTCAACTACCAGCAAATAAGGCCTTAACCCGCAACCTTCCATATCCATACACCTTCCCACAGCTTCCATTTCATCATCCACCTGCTTTTGCATTCTAAGCTCAAAACCCCCAAACCCTAAAAAACATCAATCCGAAACCCAGCCCTAAACACTAAAAAATAGATTACGTAGCAGGCAGCGAGGCTAAGGCTCAGGCATGAGAAGACTCTCACCCTCCACGCAGGCGAATGACAGGTTCACATTGCCAGGATACCTTCGCCCGCTCAGGGCTTAGGAATTCAGGTCCCAAGGGCCAAGGACCCCAGAAATACACGGGACTATAGGGGATTACTTGGGTGTCCTTATTCAGCATCATGCTGGGATGCTGTCGAGAAATGCTCTCTTAGAGCAGATAGAAGATGGGTAACATAGGCAACTCGCTATGCGATGCCCACATTGCCTGGATGCTGCTGCAGCGCTAAGAAACTCCGAGCTTTAGGCGCGTTTAGCAATGCTCCCCTGTACAAAGGGAAAAGTTCCTTGAGCCCTGAACCCCAAAGCCTAAAGCCTAGGGACCTGGCGTTTGGGTTTAAGGCTTGAAGTTTGTTGCTTTTTGGCCTCGTCAGCTTCTGGCTTTGGAGTTAAGGCTCTGAACGCTTTTGTGTAGCTTGAAAATGGAACCTAGCGTGTAGCCCCTTGGTTGCTGGTGCGCAATTTCTCTATTGCAGATTGCAATTCAGCCCAAAACTAAAAAAACGTCATGGGACCTAGGTAGAGTCTGAAGGATTAAGATCTGGACGATTCCCTCCTTGCCAGCGACATGGGCAAGGGCAAGCCCCTAAAGAAGTTGGGGATCCCTTTCTGGAAGCTCATATACTATAGCCTGAAATGCCCATGCACCAGACCTCCCCAACCGTTGCCAGCGCCTGTCCGTTCTAACAATTGCCCAACGCCCTGTCTACGCATCCCTACATACGCCCACAAAACCCCTGTAGAACCCACACGTGCCCTGATCCAGAAGACTATGGATATCATCATGTTGCCTCAAACTCCTACAACTGCGCGCCGCAACTACAAGCAACTAGGATCTCCAGGCGAACCCCAAACCCTGAACCCTAAACCCCATAATTTGCAGAGGTTAGTAGGGAATGCGGGAAGGGAGTATATTCCCTAAACCCAAGACCTAAACCACAATCCCTATAAGCCCTAATCCCTAAACCCTATAAACCCTGAATCCTAAACCCTAAACCCCAACGAACCCTAAAGGACTGTCCAAGCATGGCCTCTGACTCGGTGAGCCATTGAGGGTGATCTGCGGGAGCTGATCAGTGATAGCGTCATGCATACGGGCGTACCTCAGTTGGGCGGATTACATAGGGGGGGTTGTAGGGATTATATAGGGAATTATAAAAGGGGATAGTTTCTAGGGAGGATTGTAGGGATTGTTGTGTAAGAGAGATGGGGTCGTGGGGTTATTGGTCGGATCTTTGACTTCATTTGGGGGTCTTGGGGTTGTGGGGCTTGGTTGAGCACATGAAGTACCTCCTTTGCGTAAGTTTTGGGGCCTGCTGTTGGCCTCGTATCTTCAGGCATCCACCATATTAGAGGTTAGGTAACAACAATTCTGACAGTGACTCATTTAATGTTTTGGTGTCCAGTTCAAATGCCGAAGCACGAAGAGCAAGGATCCTGTAGGAAGAACCCTGTTTTGAAAGGAATGGAAAGAGTCGTGCGTTGAAACAGTACAGTACATTTGGTTGATCTGGAATCCAGCTTCCAAATTAAACAAAAACGATTGCCTGTCATGACGGATCAGATTTCCCCCTCAACTATCCCCTATAAAACTCTTTGCGTTGGCCTTACTTCTAATCTAAAGTTTGACACCCCCCCTCCTCATAATTTTGGGTGGTGTTCGAAATTGTGGCGTTCCTGCTTCGAGCCTCCAGCTGGAAATGGCATGCTTGTCGGACAAGGTCCGAAGATCCAAATGATTGGTCTGCTTATCCCTAACCGCAAAAAAAAGGCAGCCTTTCGATTCTGTTCAGAAGTCCTCATACTGATGGCTGCGGGAAGCCTTATTCTCGAAACAACCTTTGTCATGTATCTGCACATGCGTTCCGCAGAAAGCAGGTCACTCCGAAGGCAAACTCTGATGGTCCAAACACCAGAGGCTGTAAACAAGCACCAGTCCGATTCCAGCGAGAAAGAGAATTCCCAATTGTGCAACAGATGTTCAAGCACCGTTTTGCAAAACGCTACATTCGAAGACACGGCGCCTTCAGCAGTATGGAACGAGGCTACTTGAAAGTTTCGGTTTCAGGGTTTTGGGCGTAGGTTCACGCAGGCCCACCACGTACATAACTCGCACCTTCATACAGTAACCGAAGTTCTAACTTGCAACTGGCTGGCCCAAATTTCGGCTCGAATGAAAGCAGGCTAGGATTAGTCAGAACTTGGAGTACGGGCTTAAGGTTAAACATTCAGCGTCTACAGGTTCATGGTTAAGGCTTGCTGGATAAGGGGGCCGTGAGGTCAATCTCTTGACACTGCGCCTGCACACAGCTGAGGCCCCGACAACTTCTCCACATGCTTCTTGTCGTTCTCCATCTCTTGCATGCATACCTGGCGGCATAGTACAAGAGCAGAAATGATGAAACAGGTATTCTGGTGTTCATTCATGTTCCTCAGGCAGCTCTAGCCCTGGACATTTTCCTTTGGGCCTTCAAGCCTTGCGGTCATGTAATGGGGCAAGACTACCACAAAGCAAGCGCTCGGTCTAGGCCCTGTAGTTTCCACATTCAGCATGGGTTCTGCGAGTCTTATGCAGGGATCCTTGGCCCTCAGCTCTTTACCCTAATTGCGCCCAAAACATTCAGAATAAACTTCTGAATCCCTAAGCCCGCATCAAACCCCCCACAGCCTTCTGAGTCCGTAAGGCCACCCTAAAACCTGAAGGCCGTTTGACCCTAAACCATCCTGAACCCTAAACCCCAAACCGGAGCCTCCGCAGCCGCACCGAAGCCGACGATTGTCGGCGTCGCCAACGTTCCACTGCGGAAGCCACGCTCCTGAACAGAAGTGGGGGTAGGAGGTTTAGGGAGTAAGGATTTAGGAGTCTAAGGGCTTCGGGTTCAGGATAGAGGAAGGCCTTAGGGATTCGGATAAGGGGCTTGAGATTTGAGGTTTAGGGCCTAGGGTTTAGAATTTATGGTTTGGGGTTCACAGTTTGGGGGAGGATGAGATGCACAAATGCAGGAGCGCAAGCACTCATCACCATAAAAGCCCTAGACCCTAAAGACCCTGATTACACTCATTCTGAGACCTAGGAGCTGCTTTCCACTTCAGCATGTCGAAGCATAATAGCACGCTGCCATTTCCAAATGCCATCATTATATAGGGATTCTTTAGGGGTTATACAGGAGATATACTGAGGTTATATTGGGATAATGGAAAATAGAATGGACACTACTATGTCAGTATAGGGTTACGTAGGGGTAACGTACATCGCATGTTTCCATGGCTTCCAAGCATTCTCGTCTGGACTCCGACAGTCACCCTTTCGGATTCATGTAAACCCTCCGTCTCCGAATATTTACATGAATCCCTATACACTCTCAAGCCCACGCCCCTCCCAAGAATTAAAAATCAAAACCCCAAGCCCCTAAAGTCCGTGAACCCTCCAAATTCTGCAAAACTAGATGCCTACGCCCTAAGGCGAGCTGCCGAAACCTAAAGAAATCTAAAACCTTGTGCGCCTGGCCGCCACCGTCGATCACCGCGCGAAGACGGACCTGGCTCAAAGCTTGGGGTTTAGGGTTCCCCTCAAGGGCACTGGAGGGATTACGTGGGGCCCTCTTCTTTGGATCTGTGGATATGTATGTATACACATACATACAAACGGTTCGAGGTGTTGATGTTAGGAGTTTAGGTTTGTCAGGGTCAGGGCTCAGAGATCTGGGTTTGAGGGTTAAGGTTTGGTGCTTAAGTTTTCGCAGTGTCGGTCTGTTATGTTGTTTACGCCAGAGGCTTGGGGTTCAGCGATCAGGGATTACCGGAACTTGCGTCAGCATTTAGGACTACTACAAGATATCACCAGCAATCCCCCGTACTGCGCACCCCGTGAAGAAGCTGCCCTTGATTGACACACGTGCACAACGCTTCCCATAGACGCCAGAAAGCTGGAACATCAACATCCCCCTTCTCCAAGTTCACAATTGTTTACCCTTGCAGTGGCTCTTCCTCACCCCCCTTGCTCAGGCCCAAGACAGACACGCTGAGGTTCGGGCGCGCGGTTTTCGGCGAACGTAGAGGGCTCCTACACCCTTTGGCCCGTACATCTTATGCGCGGAGATAGACCTCGGCATCTCAGACTTCTTTTCACAGACATCTGCTACACATGAACCAATGTCTAAACTCCAAGTATCCCCCTTAAAAACCTCTATAGCAGTCCCTTATATATTCCCCCTATACAACTCGCTGTAGGGAGTTGAGACTATAGCTCATATCTTTGTTTCTTTGAGGCCCCACTGGTCGAAATTCCCAGAAAGCAAATATTCTCAGTGCGAAGAGCCAGGTACCTCGAAAGTGGGAATATGGGTTGAACAGGGTGCCTTTGCAGGGGCCAGAAATCCACGGCACAGCCATTTGGGCGCTTTGGGTGGGGAAACATTGCAAAATCCCGCCATCTAGTCCATTCAGTTTGATGTAGGACCCAAGGTGCGCATAATACGAAACACTATAGTCAGGGCTGTTGGTATGGCCGGAATTCCAAACACTACAGGTATGATCGTTTTTTTAACCTGACCGACGAAGGCGACCTTCCTTTTAAACGGGCTTATAGGAGCTTATCGGCTTTTGCTTAGGAGATGGTACACAAACCTTAAACCCTATAGGCTTTAGACCCACGAATGCCCGAATTTCCTCGAGACATTCAAGTTTTGTGCCCAGCTGTCCACTTCGAAGGCACCATGGTTCATACTTGAAGGATCGTGAAGGTCTGGAGCACACAACGGGGTTTATGATGTACTGTCTACGGGGGCATGTGGGGATTAGAGATTGTGAGCTTCAGCCAAGATTTCTGCTGCAGTGGATGGGCCCAGGTTACAAGATGAGACCCTCAAACCCCAACTGAAGCCTATGACGATTACGAAGCTGTCATCATGTTTCCACAGGGTAATTACCTGGAAGCTCTCAAAGCCTCACCAGAATGCAAGACCCAGCCTTCAACCGGCTATTAAACCTAAGACCCTGCGACTCTGGAACCAAAACTACGTCCTAAAAAACTTGGGCATCGACAGCAGAGCCGCATTCATCTTTTTAACATCCACTGGCACCTCCCGGCACAGTTTAATGGCTGGCAATAGGATGTACCTGGACCCTGTAGGTCTCATCAATTTTCGAGTTCTGTTCCCCAGGTTGCGCTTAGGAACCGCATGGAAGCTTCGACAGTGAATGTTCAGGGCCAGAAGACTTGGCTTCGCGTTTGTGGTTCAAGACATGGACCAAGACTGGCTTTAGCTTTTTGATATCTGTGGTTCTCGAAGCACTATAAAACCACAGCTGGCACGCCGATGTGAACTTTCAACGCTTCAAACGCCTCAACCCCAGGCTCGCGTGAGTAATCTATGTAAGCATTTGCAAGCCTTGGGTTCTGCGGGGCACCCCAAGGAGCCAAACATCATGAGCATCAGCAAGCCTGCGTTTCTGCGGGGCACCCCAAGGAGCCAAACATCATGAGCATGCAGCAAGCCTTGCGTTTCTGCGGGGCACCCCCAGGAGCCAAACATCATGAGAATCAGCAAGCCTGCGTTTGTGTGGGGCACCCCAAGGAGCCAAACATCATGAGCATCAGCAAGCCTGCGTTTCTGCGGGGCACCCAAATAAGCCAAACATCATGAACATCAGCAAGCCTGCGTTTCTGCGGACCACCCCAATAAGCCAAACATCATGAGCATCAGCAAGCCTGCGTTTTTGCCGGGCACCCCAAGGAGCCAAACATCATGAACATCAGCAAGCTTGCGTTTCTGCCGGGCACCCCCAAAACCCAAGCATCATGAACATCAGCAAGCCTGCGTTTTTGCGGGGCACCATGAGCATCAGCAAGCCTGCATTTCTGCCGGGCACCCCAAGGAGCCAAACATAATGAGCATCAGCAAGCCTGCATTCCTGCCGGGCACCCCAAGGAGCCAAACATCA